GCCGATGAATGAACCCCAGACCACTTGCATGGTTGGCGAGAGTTATAACAGTGAACAACCAATGCTGTCAGCAGTGTATGTCAATGCTTATAAGATACGTATATTTGCTCATTCTGATGATCTCGCATTCAGAAAACCGTTGTCTCACTGAAGAATGAATGCCATTATCATAATTAAATTAGTTTTTATTATTATTTCCTTGCATTATGACTGGATTCAATAACACCTCCTCATCTCCGCTGTTTTCTTTTAGTGACTTTACGGATGCCTATAACTGGATCCCTATTATTCGCTCAAGTGGCTTTATAATAGCGAATCTCGGCAAAGAATCAAAATTATATTAAAACATTTTCCCTCGCATTTATCATATTTTTATTTTATGTTGAGACTCAATATACCCCTTCTCTATGGCTCTGAAACATGGCTAATACGCGTTGAAGACATGAAAAGGTTGACTGCTTTCGATCATAGATGTCTGTGATCTCTGTCTCACGTTAGGTGGTTTCACAAGATAAGTAATGTTGACGTTAGGCGTAGAGTGTTGAGCAAAGAGGGAAAATCAATCGACGAGGCTATAAAGTTACATAGACTAAGATGGCTAGGTCACGTGCTGCGCATGCCTAACCACCGCCTCCCCCGACGGGCTTTGCTAGCTGATATAGGTTCAGGTTGGAAAAGAGCCAGTGGTGGCCAAACAAAAACATGGCCTCATCAATCCATGAAATCCTTGACAGTCAAACTGAGTCAGGTAGGGAGATGCAGACTCTCGGGTTGGGGCCCTCGGGACTCTAGGAATCAATGGCTGGAGACAATAGGTGACATGGCTCAAAATCGTTGTCAATAGCCAGCGCAGATGTATTCAGTCTCTGTAATCTTTCATATTCCTTTCTACAATTACCCATTCTGTTTCACTCTTATATTTGTCAAACTCTATTGATTCTCTTCACTCATCTTCTTGTCTACCCCTGTGTGCTATTTGGAACGTGGCAACTCGAACTGCTGCACTTCGGTGCCAAGTTCTATGTTGAATCCAGACAGACAGACAGATACCCCTGAAAGCTTATTGAAGAAGTTCCATATATTTTTGTCAGTGTCTGCTGGTTGTCTTGATAACTACACACTGAAATGTTCCAAATCTCCCTACTCAACTGAAATATGTAGTAGCGCAATTTGTCTACAATTTGATCCTACTATCTACTTATACACTGATGATGTACATTTTCATGACAGAATTTGAAATTCACCAAAATAGCAACTTGTACGTAGACAATACCACACTAGAACTGTGTATTCTTGAAATTGTATGGCTAATCTTCAGAAGTTCCTGTCAAAATAAGTACTGTCTTTGCATTACAATCATGTCAACAGTCAATCAGTTTGTCAGCGAATTGAATCGTAAACAAAGACAAGAGAAATCTAATGAATATCAAAAACTCTTTTGCTTATTAAAAATTGGATTGCAATATCTGGTGATATATTAAAATTTTATTAGGCATTGTGTCAGTATGCTGCCTGGCCTTTTGTTAATAACTTTGCGGTTTTCAACCGAATAATTCAAACTGATTCCAAATATATTGGATTTGTAAGAATTAATAGTGTGGAATATTCCCACACCATGAATTAAAAGTCAATCTGAACGAAGAATATTTTTTTCAATAATTTCTCTTCAGGTTCTTAAAATTATAAAATTTATTATTTGTTGTCGTTACAATAATGGCCAGTTATGCGGCGGATACATTTTTTACGTAGAATAACAAATTAGCTATGGAGTGTCAAAATAAATAGTCTTATTTTATTATTTTGACACTCCATAGCTAATTTGTTATTCTACGTAAAAAATGTATCCGCCGCATAACTGGCCATTATTGTAACGACAACAAATAATAAATTTTATAATTGTAAGAATCTGAAAAGAAGTTTTTGAAAAGAATATTGGATTTGTGATATTAAAACATCAATTTAGAGTGAAATTCAAGCAATTTGCCTCATTTATTAACAAGTAGACTCACTTCACGAAACTTAATCCTCAAACAATGAAGGAAAAATCCTATGTAGAAGCCTGTCAGATGCAGATACGAAGAACGAAAGCAGAAACTGAGCAGAATCTATACTTCACGGAATAAAGAATTGAAATTACTGCTAAAAGAGTTAAACGACACTTTCGCGTGGCACCCAGTGTGAATGGTGCTTCATGTAAGACAAGCGCCAGAGCACTACCTCAAACAACCATGTCACCAGGTGGAATAAGATCAAGCTAGATGAGTCCAGTGTAAAATAGTGAAGGAAAGCCAATAAAAAAGCAATGGAACTGAAGAAATAATGGTCTGATCACATCTGGGGATTCCACAATTGTGGTTCCTACAAACATTCCACTGAGAACACCCATATTTCAACAATAACGTACCTTTGAGAGGTAATGAATCAGACAAACTGCTGGAAAGCACCGCGAACATATGAATTCCCTTTCAATACCCCAGTAGACATGAACACATCAATGCTACATAAGATGCGACAGAAGAAAAAGTATTAATTATTAATGAAGGTCTGCCCCGTAAAAGTTTTAGAGAATAGTTGGTTGGGCCTTTTTATATTTAGGTGTCTAAATGACATTTTTTCAGTTAAAGTGTGAATGCGATTGCATTATATAATAAGATCTGCGTGAACATTTCCACAGAAGCTGTCATTCAGGCAACTAAGAAATTCACGCAAAATCTCACTCGATTCACGGATTCCGGAATTTTCAAAAGAAACAGTTACACAACTGAACCCTTGGTTCCAGCAACTTGAAAGGAAATAACTCGATAACTTACTACGGAAATGGATTAACATACTATATGAAGTGACAACGAGAATGGTATGCTGGTTTGAAGAACATGATGAAAGTACTTCAATTTGTCAGTGGCGAATGTGAATCTATAAAATTTGACGTCTTATTCTGTTTCATTTGCTTTCACTTCATTTTGAAATTTTATTGTCGCATTTCGATGATTGAAACATATATTGTTCATCATTCTTTCATGTAATATTATTAGAGTTATCGATCTGCAAATGAATTCTAAGTGAACTGCCACAATCACCTTGTTCATTTCCGTGACTGTTGAGACTGAATGACACAAAATACATCTTATCAATGTTTTATCAACGTAAACCACTTATTTTGATGAACTGATACTTATATAAAGCAAACTTTGAACTTTGTTTACTGGAATTTATAATCTGTTTCTGCTTACATTGACGCCAATATTAGATTTTGGTGACTCATGTTTCTGAAATGTATGTTTTGTGATGAGACAGTGTTTTGAGAATGCTAGACATTTTTCTGAGCATCCTGTGCTTAATAGTCTATTCACTTATTTCGCCTTCTATGTGCAAACAGATTCAACTTTAATCAGATCACCTCAAACTTCATCAGTGAATAACACATAAGAGCGCTTCACTTAAATTTAAAAAATACACATTATTATAAACCTGAGATAACATTTAAATACTGCATCATATGAAATACAGTCTTCCGCAAATACTTTCCCAGGTTATACGTTGTCTGTTTTCACCATTTTAAATTAATGCGTGTTAAGTCAGATTTTTCTGAATACGATTTCTATTGAATGGGCTGTCGAATACATACACCTAACATCATACTAATCCCTAAATTTAGAGTATGAAAGATATTTTCTACAAGTATGTTGCTCAAAGCATGGGTTAATTTCGACTTGCATATCTTAAACTATGTACCACAACACGTATCACTTGTCCTAATCGTCTACCATAACGTATACTGACAACTGAGCTACTCCTAATAAAAGAAAACGTTACTCGATTAGTCACATTTTGGTTCGATATCCAACATCTTGAAGGTTAAAGATGATTCCGTCTTTCTATATTAGTCGTAGTTTTCTACAAGCTACTTTGTTGTTGCAGAGCACTTCCTAAACTCACTGATTACGCAAATATAATGCACTTACTGTTTCATGAAAATCACTTAAATGGTTGAGTGTAGATTTATCAAATGGAAACAAAACATTTATGACCTTTTAGAAACGTTTCTATAAAATGAATGCCTATTTCAAGATACACACATATTTCAGCTGTGGGAAAGATGACAAAGTTTGCAGTGTGACCATCAGAGCAGCTGAGCGGAGATTATGGTAAACTCCTGAATGTTGTTGGACACAAGTTGTAGCGACCAAAATCAGTTTATACTCGTCTGGACGCTGGGATTCGATCGTTTTGTTCTTCTGTATATTTTGGGGAACTTCTGGGAATCCCGCACAGTCCCATATTATTTCAGTAATGCCAAATAAACGTTTTCACCTAATAAAACCGTTTTATCATTCAGAAAATACTAGCATATCAGAAACGCAAAATTATCGCGACGTTGCCGTTAGGCACCTACACAATTCAACTTTTTCTAGAGTATGAAACAAGTACCGTACGACAAAACTAATTAACCAAAAAAAAACAACTGCAAGACCTTCTAGAGTACCAGATAGAATCTTTTCAAAGAAGTGGAATCAAAACTCTGCCAGCAACAGTTTCCCCTTCAAGATCTACGCGTTCACAAATAAATTTGTGCATATCAACTAAATAAAGCAATTTTCGTCACCACAGATCATTAATTCATATAATACTAAAATAGTTAGTTTCGAAAATAATAATTGATCACATAGATTAAGCCCATCACAACACGTTTATGTATACATATATGTAAATTAAAATCTGTTCCACTTCAAAGTTAAAGTTTTTATGGAATAAACAAGAAATTGCATTCATAGAATTAAGAGTATCGAATTCTTCATATTGCTGAATTAAGTCTCTATTAATCAAGATAATACAAACACAAATGGTTTGGAGGCAGACATATGTGCACTGTTCCGTAATTGAGTGATTACCGAATGTCACGTGACAGTTGTTTACAGTTGTAGTTTTAGGCATCTTAAGTGATTGTTGACGAACCACTTAAAACTGAAGTTTAATATCACCAACCAATTGATGCTTTTTTCTAAACTTTAACCTTGTTGTTTAAATGCTGTATATTTTCGAAGCAGAATAGTATATAAACAAAAGTAAATCAACTCATTTTAATCAAAATGTTCTACAATTGCATAGTGTTACTTCTGATCATTCTATCTGTGCAGAAATATGCATCGTCATGGAATAGTAAGTACTTGATGAAGCATTTCTGTTCAGTAAAACATACATTATTTCAGAAGTGAACAAAATTGAATGATGTTGATAAATTCACATATCGGAAATGTAAACTATCTGTAATAATTAGTGGTGAAGTCATTCTTGCCTTTTTTTCTCAGGTGTTTGCTTTCATGATAAGGACGAAGGTCCTTGTAAAGCCTTAGATCTACGTTACTATTACAACTGGAGTGCCGGTGTTTGCACTGAGTTTGAATTCGGTGGATGTAATGGTAACGGAAATAATTTTCTAACATTTGAAGAATGCAATAAAACCTGTGGAAGAAGGTATGTGCGTTTTATATTAAATTTCAAATGAAAGCATTCCATGTCAGTCTTCATTATGCCTTATGAACACAACAAGCACTTCACACAGTTGTCCTTGACTTGTTTCGCTAGCAACAACAAATAAACTACTTCAACTTCAGCTGTAGGGAAAATTAAGATTTCATGTCAAAATTCAAATGTGTCCCTCAAACACTTCATCACTTATAATCATTAGTTATTACTAGCCATATTCAAGAATCGTAATTAATAGATTTTAATTAGTAATACAGAATGAAAACTTTTACCTGTTTGTTGTTGATATCTCCTTTGGTGTCAAGTAAATACAAAAGCTGATTTTCACTCAATTCTTCTAATTCATATTTCACTTGAGATTACAGGTCTTCGGTTATAATAATAAAATACTGGTATCATTTGTCAAACATTTTAACAAATTATATCTCATGAAAAAATAGCTAACTCTGAAAGCATTTTATTTTAGCGGCACATTTGATAAAAGTAAGTTTTAACCACTACAAATTTTAAAATTATTTGTTATCTTATAACAAATACATTTATATTTGCATTTGAGATGCAGTTCATCCTATTTAAGATGCCCACTTTGAATCCGAATAAAACTACAAATAATCAAGATTGTATACTTCACGGAACGCAAAGTTTCGTGGTTTTTAGACCAACACGAAAGCATGGTATGTCAACGTATTAATGCTTGAGGTGATTCATTTATCATCAGGCAAAATCATCATCAAGATGTTAGTGTGCAGAAAACTTCAGATATGAAATATTTTAACGGGTGAAAGCTTATCACCTCACTTTTTTCAGATTAGTTTATAATTTCATAATCACATTTGGAATACATTACCCTGTCAGTGTAATGAAGGTGTAGGAAACAACACTTCTGTTTGAAATTCATTAATGGCTTTTTGTGAGAGAAAACTATACAATTACTAACAGTATGAAAAGAACTATGCTTCATCATTGCTTGTCTCACTATGCGACCACTTTATAAGATTTGTTGCCTTCAAGTAACAATAACACTATATCTATTACTTCTCAATAAACTTTTGAATGCTTTCAGGTGTCTGCATTTTAAAGCCTGACCCAGGTACATGCAGAGGATATTTCAGCCGTTACTTCTATAACAAGGAGAAAAACGTATGTGAACAATTCATATATGGTGGTTGTCTGGGGAATGAAAACAATTTTAAAACTAAGGAAGAATGTGATGCGAAATGTGCAACAACGTAAGTTTCGTATCATCTATTTTAGGTGACAAAGATACTCTCATTTCTCGAGGTGAACACTACCATTTACTCTTCTTTTGTTGTGCATAATAACGACAACTATGAGTAAATAAACTATTCTCACAGTTCAACACAATTTTAAGAAACAATAAGCAGTGAAATAATGCGAAAATATTTCATATGTACTGTGGTCAGTGCATTAATAATTACATCAGTTGTTTTTGGCTAAGGCTTGGAAGGAATTTAGGCTAAATGGAAGTTATATCCATGAGTATAGGAAGCAAATATATTATCCATGTAAGACTTTTCTGTCTACCCTATTAACAATCTTGTACTAAATGCTGAAAACATTACACTGTAACATTAGTACAGTTTTGGAATAAAGCAAAGGAATTATATTAAAACTTCACAGAATTGTTATTCGTGTTGTAAGCATAATAAACAATGCATGCAGTATATTTACATCATCAAGACTTCACGAAGGAAGAAGTGTCGAACTAGTCTCACAAATATTGCAGAAATGTTTTAGATGCAACGGATTATTCCACTGGATAATCCAGTGTGTGAAGTTAAGAGGCGAATTATTGTATTCAGCCTATAATGTATTCAACTGAAGTAAATTATGACATAGTACTTATATAGCTACTGGTCAGTGAAAACACTTTAAACATGACTGATAGATTTGTAAATTATTCCAAAGTGGAATATCATACAGCATTAGTAATCCTAGATAAACATGTGTAATATAACCACTTAAACAGTCCCTCAACAGAAACTTAAAAAAGCGTGTAAAATAGGCTTGTCACAGAGTGATGTATCTGTTGGCGGAATAGCGGAAGAAGGAGCATGCTGATAGAGCATTACTTTTAAAAATGTGCTGTTTTATACACGTAACAAACACACTGATATTTACTTGGCATAATGCGTTTCAAACTTAGTAAGATATAAATATAGAATAGTCTTCAGATTATTATAACTTACCTAAATATTGAAGTTAGACAAAACGGTTACAACATCATACTTTCCAAAATATTACTTGTTTGCTTCACAAAAACGTTTCTCCACGTAAAGAGACTGATTTTAATTTCTACAAGTGTTCAGTAGTGCATAATTTCAGCTTTGGTTCACTACTCCAAGGCATCATATTTGCACGCACTTGCATTCAGTTTAACACTGAATGAAAACGACGATAGTATGACCTCTCTCTTGGTGTGTTATTCCAATCTGGTCATAAAGGAATGCATAACAGGTTCAAATAGTTTCATTTAAATATAGGCGTTCATTTGATATTGATGAATCTGATTTTCCTACAAACCTGATATTCAGACGAACTGAAATTTTAATATTACAACAGATTCCCAAAACTACATCTTGGATTTTAATAATTTTTAATATTCATATGCTGTTGACTGTGAAGTAAGTTTCCTCACTCACGTCTGAATTAGTGAATACATTTTTCTAACGAAATATATTTTTTGTTTCTTTGTCAGCCTTGGTCGTTCACTGAATGGAATTAGTACGTTAGCATTTGAAGAATAACTAGTATTGAAATAATAAACCAAGAATTAATGGTCACAATGAAATAGACTATTTAAGTAACAACATCTTGCTGATGAACTGTATTTATTTAGCAAAAAATGTGTGGCTTCTGATGTTCTGAACTGCTGATGACTGGAAACTGCACTAACAAACACATTATGGTGCCACTGGATAAGTCTCTCGCATGAGTTACTTCGAAAATATCTCCAAATAGTAGATCAAAGCGAGACTTGATTGAAGGGACAGATTTATATTCACTCTTCTACTAGGATCCGGAAAATAAGACGGACATTTATGGATACACAGTCATTGACAAATAGCAAACAGTAAAGATAAGTAAACGCTAAGAAATACCCATTTTATTGTGTCAACAATAGATTGCAGATTTGCATTATTCACGAAAGGAAACGACTGACATAATGAAATCAACAGCTAAAATTTCGTGTGCCTTCCATCTTCTAGAAAATCCAATAGATTAATAACTTTGTGTTATCAACATTGTAGTTTTAAGCGAATCCATTATTATTTTCTTCACACGTTTATTAACTTCTTCCTAGCAAAAGCCGAAAGTGAGTTCATATCCTAAATGCTTGTTCATTTAAAACTCTTTAAAACTCTTAAAAAGAACTGCTGATTAATTTTCACAAAGTTATATATCCTATATATAAGACAACATCAACAGTTTATTTATATTTTTCACTGTTTTTGCATAAATGATTCGATAAAGGAAGGTCAGTATCAGAAAATAAGCCAATTAGTATGGTTACACATAATTCAATAAAAAAACACAAGTTACTGAAGAAAGTGATAAGTACGACATTAATAAATCTATGTAGACATCCAAGGAAAGCACTTTCTGACCATTCCCATGATGTTCATAAGCCAAAGCAGTTTTATAGTTAATGAACAATCGAGTACGCCGAATCTATGATTTCCTGTTCTCAATAAATCACCATGCATCTATCCATAATCAAGATCATGTTTAATAGATTTGAAGCGTCAAATGAATCCAATATTATTTACCGCAAATCTAATTTTTCATCTACAAACTTTTCGTGGATCATATAAGAAGTTTATGTAAACGTAATGTTATAATTTTTTTTAAATGATGATGAGCCCACAACTTTTAAAGTATGAAACAATTCAGATTTAGTTCTAGTTCACGCTCTTTGCCGGCTTAACACAGAAATCTAAGAATACATCATTGCATTCTTCAGAAACATAAAATAAATTCGATACCACGGTGCAGAAATACCCTTACCAGTCTCAAATCTCAATACTAATGGCACTAGTGATAAGATAATTTAATATATGTAGGTTAATGTATTAACATAAAATTCAAATAGACGTATTTGCTAAATATCAAAAATAAAATAACCAAAAAAGTATAAAGCATCAAATCTAAATAACAATGATAATAACATCATAAACTGACATCAGTTAGAGAACCACTGCAACATTTGCGAGTATTGGACAGCTGTTTCATATTAGTTTGGGAATCTTCAGCAGTACGCACCAACCACCAGGGTTAGAGCCCAGGACCTTCTGGTTACAAGGCGATCTCGTATACCATTGAGCCACTGGGACCTATTCCAATGACCCATGAACACTAACTTATGCCAATTCGTGACATAGCGTGACCGCTTCGCAATGTCTTCTTTGATGAGTTACTGTCACGTCTTCAACCTGCTGTGCCCTACTGGTCACGGATTCCCACTAAAACCCCAGTTCACTGACTGAATAGTGCCAGTCGCTAGTGGGCATCAGAATTATTTTCAGGTATGGTTTTGCAGGGATTCAGTTTGATTGGATGGAGCTGACATCATGATGAAATCCTTCATCCAATCAAACAAAATCCCTACAAAACCAATAATTGAAAATAATAACATCGGCAAATGTAATGATAAATTAAGTTTCACACTTTCGAAACTCAATTGATATTCAAATCGGTGGCCATATCTCATTATACTGAAAGTTTTAATTCATAAATGAAATTAAACCGTTTTTAACACAGTGAATAAAGGAAGGTTATTGAAATACATTGTCATTTATAAGAAACACCAAGTAAACATGAAAGTTAAGAACAGTTACAAAAATGATGTCATTACTTGAATATAGGAAGTCGGATTAATAAATTGAATGAGAAACACAAATGTACGCTTCTACTAGTTGTAAGTAAAACATAGTCAAACGTTTTAATTATTCTTCAGAGTGCTGCTTATCATAAGGAGCAGAGTTTCACCTCACGGCAAGGAGGTCCAAAAGTTACAAATATTCTCAACTGGTAACTATCAGTAGTTTAATGGCCAAACGTTAAATCAGCAGATCAAAGTTGCAAACAAATCCAAATATATTTTCCGTCTAAATACGTCGTCCAGTATTCAGTCACAGTCGGAAATGAGTTTCGATTTACTTATCCTATGGTGTGACACTCAGGTAAATTCCAGTGAAGATTCCTCGATCTCAGAAAACAACCCTATGGTAAATCAGGCCTTTAGACGGTCTGGTAGTAGAAAGTGAAGAAAATACACACCATTTAGGAACATTTGAAGCCCTCTAAGAAGAGACAAGTCGATATTTAAATTATCCGATTCTTACTGATGGTCTGTGGACACCATATCCATTGAAGATCTAAAGTATACTTCATAGACTCGTTACATCCAGTCTGTTTTAGAGTGAATTGTAAAGTCTTTACAGATAGTCATTCGGACTAAATGCAATAATTAAATGTATATTCGACTACGTATGCAAACGCTGGCAGTCCATGTGAACATTGAAGAATCAATTACCAAGAATATGTCATATCCCAGTTTCCGTGACTTCATATCACTAAATCTATTTTAACCAGCCTTGAAAATACTATTGAAGTAATCCAGTTGAAGCTATTTATTTCCAGACGATTCCACACTTATTTTTTCACCTATTTATATTTGCTCACTATTTAGCCACTACTGAGGGTGAGTTCACAACTTATCTGTGTTTCACTGAAATGCATCCCACTTTGTGTTTTCACTCATACACACAACTATATTAAGAATGCTTGTCATTAGTGATACTATATTAATCAATTTTTCATTAGTGAGTGGTCATGAGTTGAGCATGCTACAGCTCTTAATCGATGTTATGACCAGTAAAGTGTAACATATTGAGTTTTAGAAGAGATAGGGTGAATGCACTGGAAGACTGTGTTACCATATTGCAACTAGAAGAAAGTGAGGATTGACGGGTTATTGGATTCCAACTCAGTTACACGTTTGAAGTGTTCACCTATTTGATTCCAACTAGTAAAGGGAACCTATATGGAAATCGCTTACATTGATACAACTCATAACTTGTAAAATAATTCCATCAGTATATTCTAAATAATTTACCACCTACTGCTCATCATATACCGTAGCCGAGTTAATATTTCATATTTATTTGAAATTGATTCAACTCACTCTATGCATGCAACGATGCGTTTAAGGCTGATGACTATCAGTAAACTGGCTAGATAATGTGTAGGCTCATTACTCTATAGTAATAGAGAGATATGAGGTGTCAGTGGATAAGACTGCTGTTCGAGTTGAGAATATTTCTTTATGTGGATAAAGTAGTCTCATAAAACACGAACCAATAGACGTGACACATCAAGCCGAATAAATCAAACGATGCAAGAAAGTAACAAATATGACAGTTATACAGCAATAAAATTTACGGGTTTCCCTAAGTAGTGAAAAAACTTCTCCATTAACTCGAGTCGTCCTAGGGTTCTAATAATAAACTACTTCAAAATGTAAAGTAGGATTTCATAAATATTTGACAAAAAGCAATGGAAAACCCAGTTTGCGTAAGTTCAAATCAATGAAATCTTGCAAAACAACAATCGTCAATTAATTTATTTACCAAACACCATCAGCAACCTCACTGTCTCAAAGATATGTATAGCTATTTATCGCACATATATCTTTACTGCCTCTAGGTACCACTACAAGTGAGTTTTAATGTTCTTCTAATTCCTTATAAAAGCTTGAAGCACCTCGAAACAATTCACTTCGTACCATTTTCGCCTCTCAAAAATTCAATGTCACACTTCAACTGCTTTACGTTGTAACTCTCACTAAACATGCACTACAGAGTTGCCGACAATATAAAAGATTGTTTACTTAAACGTTATCAGCACGTGACTAGCAAAATATTCTACTAGAAGGCTACTTGAACATAGGTAATCATTCGTTAAAATAAGTTTTAGAAACTGACTGTTCGATCCCACAATTCGTCAACCTTGAAATTCAGCCCATGGGAGTGCAACCGATTTAATTATAATCATTAATGATAATACATAACCATTCAGTATTTTCAATGTGGCGTATTTCCTTATTTTTTACTGATGCGTGAGACCTTCCAACTCCCTCAATTCCAGTTTTACGATAGACGCTTTTGATTCCCCTAACTCGCGTCTGCGCATCTCTTTATGTCATTGAACTCTCCCACCCCACTATTCTCATCATTCATTTTTTTTCACCTGTCTCGTATATTCTCAATCTCAGAATACTTGCATGTGACCAGTTTCCACCTACTAACAAGATTCACCCTAAAACTTTATTCTGATATTTGCCTCGGAATGTCATTTGCATTTATCATAACGAATCAGTCATTTATTGTGATATGAATATTTTGGGTACTTATAATAATCCGTTGTAAAAACTAATAACAAACATTGTAATGTATGTGTAAAACTTGGGCACTGTGGTATTAAGTAATTCCATATTAGTTTGATTATTAAATGTATCACACAGTGAAACAGTATTGTATACTGGATGACGTTTCGAACACAATTTATTGTTCATAATCATATCAATTTTTGTCACACGACTTCGAGATTTGATTTTTATAGTTTTCTCTGTCTTCTCCTATTTGTTGTATGGGCAGTAGAATTTTCCATATATCTGGGACAGGTGTTGAATCATTCCTATTACATGTATTTGCAGTTGATTCGATAAACAAAGCTTCTGTTATCAATCTCTCCCTATACCCTGTGACATTAGATTTTAAAACTGTCATCCTATCCCATCCTATTGTATGGTTGTGTGTAACTGCATGTAGTGCTATAGCTGAACTACTCTCTAGATTTCTTATCTTATTCGGGTCAACCAATCTAGATTTAGCTAGGTTTTTATGTTCGGCTAGTCTGACTGCCCCTGTTCTACTAGTTTGACCTATGTATTTGACCTCACAATCATTGCAGGGTATTAGATAAACTAAATTGTTTTGTTTTAATGGCTCTACAGGATCCTTTAACCGACAAAGCTTGTTTCTAATTGAGTTTGTGGGTTTGAATGCCACTTTTATTCCTGCCTTGTTAAGAATTCTGCGTAAGGCTTCCGAGGTTCCTTCTTTGTATGGAATTATTGTTGATGATTTACATTCCTTATTGTTGGTGTCGTTATTAATATTATTATTATTATTATCATTATTATTATTACCATTATTATTACTATTATTATTGTTATCATTATTATTATTATCACTATCTCTGTTATCATTATTTATTTTATTTTTACATTTACTTACATATTTCTTGACTAATTTATCCGGGTAATTATTAAGTTTCAAGGCTTCTTTTATGTGTGTCACTTCCTGTCTTAGATTTTCCTTGGTACTACTTAGTTTTTGTGCTCTGTCATTTAAACATTTCACTAATCCTATTTTTACTGACATAGGATGGGATGATCGGAAATCCAAATATCTGTTTGAATGTGTGGGTTTTCTGTAAACACTAGTGTTTAGCTTCCCATCTTCTTTCCTTTTTACGTTGCAATCTAACATTGGAAGTTCCCCTTCCTGACTTTCCAATTCATAAGTGAATTGAATTGCCTCTACCTTCGAGTTGATGTGCTCGAAAAATCTATCTATATCTTGTGTTCTAAGTACAGTGAATGTGTCATCTACATACCTCCACCATACTTTTGGGGTGGGGGTGAACGTTTCAATCGCTATCTTTTCCCACCTATCCATGAATATATCTGCTACCACCGGGGATATTGGTGATCCCATGGCAACTCCCTCAGTTTGTTTGTATATTTTCCCTTGGAATTTAAATACTGTAGAAGTCAGGCAAAGCTGTACTCCCAGCATTATGTCCTCAATTGGCACTTTTGTCCTAAGTTCGAGTTCTTGGTCAGAAATGAGTTCGTTTCTGACCGCCTCTATAGCCATATTTATTGGTATACGTGTATATAAACTGACAATGTCAAAACTAACCATTTTTTCTTCATTATCTAATTTTAAATTATCTAATCTGTGTTTTAGTTCATAAGAATTAGTTAGTCTAGATTTCGAGTGGATTTTTAGGGGATTTAATACCATGGCTAAATATTTAGATAATTCATAGGTAGGTGAATTTCTAAAATCAACTATAGGCCTAATAGGGTATCCTGATTTATGAATTTTAACAACACCATACATCCTACTGGGGTTATTAGTTTTTGGCATTAAATTAAACCACTTAGACTCACCTAGAAACGGCTTCATTCGGCGTATAAGGTCCGCTGTGGATTTCTTAACTTTATTCATAACTGTGTCTATTGATTTATTAATTTCCTCATATGGTCCTGTTTGTATGTGAGTATTTACCTTGTCCAAATAGTCCGATTTGTCTAATACTACTGTTGCGTTCCCTTTGTCTGACTTTGTGATTACTATATCCTTGTTATTCTTGAGGTGTTTTAGGGCTTTTGTCTCTTGTTTTGTCAGGTTAGGTTTTCCACATTTTTGTCGTTTTAATGTAAGTGCACATTGTGCAAAGCCGAACATAAAAACCTAGCTAAATCTAGATTGGTTGACCCGAATAAGATAAGAAATCTAGAGAGTAGTTCAGCTATAGCACTACATGCAGTTACACACAACCATACAATAGGATGGGATAGGATGACAGTTTTGAAATCTAATGTCACAGGGTATAGGGAGAGATTGATAACAGAAGCTTTGTTTATCGAATCAACTACAAATACATGTAATATGAATGATTCAACACCTGTCCCAGATATATGGAAAATTCTACTGCCCATACAACAAATAGGAGAAGACAGAGAAAACTATAAAAATCAAATCTCGAAGTCGTGTGACAAAAATTGATATGATTATGAACAATAAATTGTGTTCGAAACGTCATCCAGTATACAATACTGTTTCACTGTGTGATACATTTAATAATCAAACTAATATGGAAACATTGTAATGGTTAAATGACAGACTATAAAGACTGAATATGTTAAAATTTCATCATGACTATGTATTGACGTGGGCATTTGGAATCATATTCCTAGACCAATAGACATCCAAATAAATTGCCTGACTTCGTAAACATGAAATAAATTCCAAGCATGCATTTAATAGGAATTATGGTATGAGATTTCTGTTAGCGATGAATTGCTTTAACGACTCCGCATTTACATGCGCAAAGTGTTCAGTGCGTCGATAGCATAGCGGTTACGACGTTCGCCGACCATGCACATGGTCCGGGGTTCGATTCCCGGCCGACGCACAACCGATACCAATGGTTGGCCTTTTAAATTTGGGCTACCGATATCACATGCTGAAAATTCCATACACGTTTCAAAAATACTGTGTGAAGTCAAGCTACCGTAAAAAAACAAATCAAATTATTCAGCAAATCATTTTATCAATTAACTACAAGTGGAACTTAGGTCAATTAAATATTTCACAGAATTCGCAAGTAGTAAATAAGAAGACAGTTGCAGCGAAGAAAATTTTCTTTTCGACGAAGTCATCATCTAGGCTGTACATTCGTGTATTTATATCAAATGGATGGGAAAGTTCCAGAATAATATCCGGTCAAGGGTCAAATTAATAAAAATAAAAATTGGGAATTAGAATACCATAATAAACAGGGGGATGGATAAAACAAACAAAGTAGCGTCATAATAACTAAGAAGACTGACATTGTGCAATTAGGGGTTAGAAATGTAGAAATAACAAAATAGACAGGATGTATGGATAAAAACTACTGTGATGAATAACTGTTTATGCAATCAGGGATTAAATATGTAGAAATAGTAAAATGACAAAATAAACACTAAGTTCGGGTATGAAAATGTGGTAGTGTAAACAGGGATTAAGAAAAACTTGAAATAACATGAATAAACAGGAAGTTTAGATAAGAAAGGCGATGGGATGGTGATTACTAAAAATTACCTGTTTATGATGGCCATGGCAAGGACAGGGGTTGGACGTATTTCTTTTGTATACAAAGCGTGGGTTTGAGCTTTTGCATAGCTAGCGCCTCGGCTATGCCCAGATGTCTTGATTTTACTCCCTTTGATAGGTTTGATCGAATCTTGTAAATGATTTTGAAGGATTTTTCGAGTGGCGCTGAATGTCCTGAATTCACCAGGTGTTCTGTCACCGAACTATTTACCCGTTTTCGTTCTCCTTTTACTAGCCAGGCTGGATAGTGTTCACGAGCGCGTTTTTCAAGTCGGCGCATGGTACGGTCAACGTACGCAAGTAAACAATTTCTTCGTGTAAATAAGTTGAAGTCACGCAGTAAATAAGGCTGCAGAAGTGTTTCTTTAGAGAGCATTTCGCTACAGTTTGTTATTTCCAATAAAATGTGTATCATGGAACCGATGTTTAACAGAAGTATTATAAATATTCAGCTGTCTGATTCTCTTTGCAACTATAAGTACTGACCTCAATTCATGTTTCATCTCTACTAAAATACATCAGTTGCTACGTATCTTTGAAGGCGCAAGGAATAGACACACAGAAGCAATCAAGCCACCTAGCAAGGCGAGTTGTTATTTATACACGCATTAGAAGGAAATCAAAGGATTCAAGAATGCATCACATATCAGTTACACAAACATAACTTTGACTCATATTAGCCTATGTATTAAAATAACTGTTTCCATGTTCTGAAATATTCTTAGCTTTTGAAGGCAAAGACCAGTGTGCATAAGGACAAAGTTTTCATCAGTTTATTAACATAATACTATCAGTTACTTAAAAGTCTCAGCAAATTTTCTTGCTACTTTTTGCATATTTCTCTTTACTGCATTTAGGCACTACAACAAGTCAGTTCAAATCGTCTTAGGATTTCTTTAAATCTGTTTTACGTAACTTCAAATAGTTCCTTTCGTTTCATTTTAAGCTGGCGATTGTTCCCCATCATATTCTGATTGAATTTCACTACAATGTATAATAATTTATCTCTACTGACTTGATAGTAATATAAAAAACGATTCACTATGTGACATAGGTATCACTGAGTTCTTAAATAAAAACTCATACCCTCAAATTCCTATTAGCAGGATAAGGCCTGAAGAAATTCTAATTGAACATAATATCGTTCACTCATATATCCGGTTGTTTAATTATAACAATAGGAATACATACTGACCTGAAATAAACCAACATAGAACTGACGTTTGACTAAAACATCATAAAAATTCACCTTCGACTGAAGATTTCATTGGAAAACATCATTTTTTTCCAGATGTATAGACGAACCATGCTCACATTCGTTTTCAGAATTTCAAATGCTCACTCTAATTTGTGATTTGAAAAGATAAACAACATTTTCTGTTTATCATTTCAGGCACAACAAATACCAAAACTGAAGCACCTGAATCCCCAGGATGGCTAACTGGTGTATTTCTTGGTGGTGTCAGATTAAAACACGCATTCAATTCTTTGTGGCGTAGAATCAATGGGAAATTCAGATAAATGTCTCAATATGTAATTAGTATAACACAATAATTGTATAAATACGTATTCTAACAGAAAAAAATAACACATACTTGCTAACATTCATAATGATTTTAATTTAAGATTGCTTTAACCCACACATGGGAAGTTAACAGAATGCCTAGTGTAATATTTCTTGGCTTTATCGAACATTTCAAGAACTAACATATAAACAAGACCAAAGTGTGTATTTTTCTTTCACATTTCTTGTTCAATCTAATTTATGAAATTTTCCATTAAAGAATACTTTTAAAAGTCGTATTATTTCTCTTTCGTTGGCTCTTACATTATTCCCTCAACACACTGTATGTATAATACCAATGCGTCAATAATTCGTGACTATTAGTTAGTTAAATCAGTTCTCGCAATGAAAATGGGTATAAAAATTAAATTTCGAAAGTGGATGAAATTCATTCAAGCTTCCTCAAACTACTGATGAATCTTTAATGTGACTTATTATGACCCTGTCTCGTGACAGTCTCATATCATGTGCCCAGTTTCAACCTGCGGTTAGAATAACTAATATCCAAATATAGCCATAAAATCCATAATAGTCCAAATTCAGTCAAGATAGTTGTATTGGTTTTCATGAATTTCAAATTCTCGCTAAGCTTCACACATGGAGAAACTTTTCATCTACAACTTTCTAGTTCCAGTTGTGTATCAGATTCTATCGACCATTCGCCTAACCGACTCAGCAGATTAATCAACATTACAGTTAACCGTTTCAATCCGTTAGTCTGTTTATCATAGAAATAAATCATGACCCGATCGCACAGAAATTATATAAAACTTTGTAAAATAGTGTTTGAATGAGGAAATATTTTGGAAAAAGATTGTTGTAACATGGCACTACATTTATATCGAAAGGAGTCAGCAATGAAAAATAATACATGGCTGAATTCATCCAATGTGGTGAGGCGTGTCACTGTACAAGTATTTGAAAATGCAGTGTCTGTCCCAGCGTCATTTTAGTGAATTAGGAAAATTGCACAAAAATTTCACCAAGAAATTTCGGAGATAATAGGCGGAGAAAGTAATACAAAAATTCAAATATATCAGGAGAATAGACACTGAAAAAATTCGATGACAGTAAAATGATTATCCTGATCGGAATCTTCGTCTATTGAAGATCTTAAGTCGGAACACTGAATAACTTTAAACACCAGTATGGTATCATTCAAACACAATAACAAGAGACACATGAAAAGAAACCAATCACTTTTAGGGTAACACAGACGAACTTCTGCCTAATTGGTGAAGAAATCCTAAATCTGTATTACTGTTCAGGATTTTACTGAGTACAGTGTTAGCTAAACATTGAAAGTTTATCAGGAAAACCAGAGAGCTTAGAGAATGCATAAATATTAGGAGCATTCGTCTGAGTCACAGGTTGACTCCATAGCTTCAATAACCTCTGTATATTTCTATTAGAATGTTCTGTTTTAGGTTCCTGATTAATTTTAATATAAATTTTAGATGACACGAAATGATTCGTACATGTTCACTTGGTGAGTGCAATTTCTATCAACCATAGACCCTGTTCAATTCCCAAAATCATTTCTTTTTGTGATTGTAGTTGGTAATAATTGTGATAAATATGCTATTGGAATCAATATTGTGGTATCAGGAATATATACCTTATGATAGTTTAGTCAATAGCAAGGTGGGCAGAAATAAAAATACAATGTGATCAGCTGAATATGTACAATTAAAGTTTGAACATATTGTTGAACAGCAGCCTAAATTGGTGTCTCAACTTTTATCGCATTTGAAATCTGATACTTGATCTGCAAACAATAATGATGGGAAGACCTACTGATGTGAGCATTTTGCTGTCAACGAATGTGTACTGGATTTGAATTCTACTTTATTTATCACAAATTATACTGTCAGCAGTAACTGTTACAGCAGTGAATAGAGAGCAGTATACATTTATCCTACTTTTTCCAACCGATCCAAGTTGAGTTTAAAATCTATATACCTATAGAAAAAGATTGAGATGGTAACTGAGAATGTGACAGAAGAAACTACGCTTTGGGCTAACAATATCAAAAATTAAATGACAAAGGCGTATTCATCTGAGTACCTTGTTTCCACGAATAATCATTTGTACAGCTGAGAAGCAATTTACAAATAGCTGCCACAACTGTCAAGGTGTCACTTCCCGATTGTGAATCTTTGAGATTGTACTTACCGGGCATAAATCATCCATATAATCCAGGTCTCCTAGGGTGTGTCCATCGGCCCAAAGTATGCATTCATTCTCACTCCCCCTGTCTGTCTCATAACTCAATCCACTACAATCAGGAATATCCTCAATAGACTATGTGAATGAACTGTTTCTCCTGAATCGTATTTGTTCTGGGCGAGTGTTTATATGCGGGGAATGCTCAAGCCCCTGTCGATGATTTTGACTTGATGTTTAATTATCTAATGGATCCAACTAAACATATGTGGCTGTTCAAGCCTCCAGTTAATTACATAATATGTATACATCGCAGAAACTAAGATGGAAAAACGTTCATGACAGACCGTCTATCTGAGTGCTCATATATATTCATCAGATATGACAGAGCTCGAATATTGTTGTTATCGTAATACTGTGGCTCTCTTTTGTCAACTCTTAGAAACGAAAAGAAAGAAATGAGTAGGCGAATCACCTGATTTTTTGATAATCATGCTAAAGTTAACATGCCGAATACATATACGAGATTGTCAACTTCTTAGAGGTGACACAGTATGGAGAGAAATGGCCACACTGTAAAGTAACAACAACATCATGGGAAAAATGCACTGCCACAAACATCGTTACAGTAATGTAGTCGTATATTTATTATACAGGCAGCATAACTTTCCGAGTAGAACATGACCTCCGCCAAGTCAGACTTGACGTACAACCAAGCATTTTCTTCTCTGATTTCCATTCCAGTAACGACCGATAAGGTAGAAGGTAAAAATTGTTTTTTATGTCATTTAAGATACATATAATCCTATTTGGAACTGCTGTACAAGATCACATAACTAAAACTATTTCATTACGATTTCATCCAGAATGAGAATATATTAACAAACAACAGTAAGTATTTAAACAATGCAGACACAAATTGTCAATCACCACAGATGGATACCTACCAACTGGATTAAATGCTACATTTTCTAGCGACCATACTAGATAGTCATACGCCTGCCTGTGCTAAAGCTGGCCTAGAATTATCCCCTTGTCCACACCAAGTAAATTAATAAGTCGCACAATCCTAGAGAGGATAAAAGATGTACTGAATGCACAAATCCGACAGAAAGAATAAAGCTGGATTCAGGAAAGGCGACTCATGTGGTGATCAAAACGCAAATCTAAGCATCATCATCATCGAAGAAAACATGAAATGGCGGTCAATTTTTATCTCAACCGCTTCATCGGCTTCGAAGAAGCGTTAGACAGAGATAGGTTGACAGCAAGTTATTTGTAATCTAGTTCACAACCACATGCTGGCGTGCCTCAGATAATTATCAACAACTTTCAACAGCTACGTGATAATGACACTCGTCGGTGATCCAAAATATAAACACGGCGAATATTGTAAAGTGAATAAAAGAGTAAGACAAAAGCGGCCTGACAATTATCATCAATGACATTCATTTTAACGGTGAACTGAAATATTTGTCAGATTGTGGAGAGAAGAGCACCAAACAGGACAAAGCGAAGATGTGTTGTTGAAGCTCTATGTTCCACTCGGAACATATGGGAGTAGAAATAATAATAACAGAATAATATCACAGTGAGTTTACATAATAATAATAATAATTTGCTTTATTCCAAAAACAGTACTAGTGGTACAGTGTGGAATTTTCAGCACCTATCTACAATACTGCATCTAATTATATCAAACATTTAAGAGTATTTCAAAAAATAAATATAAAGACAACAACAATAAAAATAATTTAGAAAATGCAAATAAAAATACCAAGTAGAAAGGAAGATAAACACCAATAATGAAAAAAATATTTCAGTATTGGGTAGTGGAAGCTATGATATGTGTATGCGTGGTGAACAGTAACAACTATAATCATACAAGAAATTATGAGATGTTCTTAAGAATGTTTATAGCCAAGATGATCAGTTAATTTGATTGAACTACACTGAACAATCATAAAATAAACATTTCAGGTTTTTTTTATTATCAGCACTAATACAGTGTTGTGGTAGTGTGAGTAATCATGCATAATACAAAAATTTTAAGATGGTGATAGCGGCGTTCACAACCAAGATTGGCAGTTAATGTTGCCGAACAAAAAACAACCACAAAACTGATATTACAAGAAGGTCAATGACAGGACAATTTTGTAGTACTTTTAGTGCTAATATAGTGGGAACCTGTAGATACACAAAAGAAGGAATATAATAAAGTACAAAAAAACAAGCCAATAATAATTATTTGGGTTGCTAAGTATGTTTAAGAAAGTGATCACTACAGAATACAAATAAGTGAGAAATACAAAAGCCAAAATTATGTAAGTAACAACAAAGCAAGTCATAGGTTTCGCGCTTAACATTTTCTCTGTCACATAGAACACGGGCTGGCCACATATGATATCGTTGAGTTTTTATACTTCGTTGTACGAGCATGTATTACTTTGTACTGATTTCTTGTTCTACCTGATGAGATACAGGGAGAGAGTTGGGAGTAGAGGGGATGTTGGGGGTCAGAGAGTATGGTTTTAGACCATTTTTTGCATGTATTCATATTCCTTTCTACTAATGTATTGATGAGCTGACTGAGTTTGTCACCACTAGTCCCAATAACTACCTTCAACATCCTTCTCAGAATGGCATAGTCCTTTTTCAGTAGCCCAGGAAAGACTAATGGGGAGCAGTAAATTAGAATAGGTAGGATACGAGAGTTGACAAATTGTGAAAGCATAGGTTTGGTGATTCCAGGTAGTCTGAGTTTCTTAATGCAGTGGGTTAGACGAAGCACTTTCTAAGAAATCGTTAGGATATGAGATGACCAAATAAGGTCGGAAGATAGAACTAATCCGAGGTATTTTGCATTAGACTTTGTTTCAGTTATAGTCCCCTCAATGCTACAGGCATCATGAGTGCTTACTAGTGTTTGTAGATCTCGTTTATGCCTAAAGGAGAAGTCGATAGTCTGGCATTTTGAGGGATTCAGCATGAGGTCATTTAGTTTAGACCAGTGACTGATGTCAGACAGGAAGCTATTTAATTTCAAACAGTCTGACTGAGA